TGCTGTCGATGGTGGGGGGGGGGGTAGCAAGTGCCAACCAGGGGACTGACCACTTGCCGGACACTGTCAGCAGTGGCCAGCAGGGATTGCTGACTGCCCGCAGACGCCACCGGCACTGTTGCCAGTGGGGGGGAGGGGCGAGCGGCGACCACCCACAAGCTTGGCAGCACCTTTTTGTAGGGCATCCACCACTACGTTCAAGGGGTGTATGCACACCCATATGCACCCCCTACGTGTCGCCCCTGGCTGGGCAAGCTGTGGCTTGGGAGCGAGGAGCAAACAGACACATAAAGACACTGACAGACACAGACAGGACTCATCTGGTAAGTGGAGGGAAAGGGGTAGGGGGGAGAAGGAAGGAGTGTGGGGGTGCAGATTGAAGCCCCCACGGTGAGGGAGAGAGCGGGGCAGGGGCAGGGGCAGGGTTGATTGGATCCCCGGGGCCAGGGTAGGTTGTCCAAAGGCGTGGGGGGGGAAGGGGAGGGTTGTGGCTCCCCACAGCAGTGCACACCTCTATGGGGGGATGGAGGCACATGGCCCCCCCATGGGGCAGAGGCAGGCTGCCTCAGGAGCTCAGCTGTGTGATGCCATTGCTGCCCACCAGGCGGGCAGGGGGCATAAGGCACGCTGGCCACACAGCACATCCCCTGCCCGCCTGGCAGCAGAAGGCACACTGGGGTTGTGCAGCTGAGCTCCCAGGGCAAGGCAGCAGGGCACAGAGCCCCAGCCCACAGTGGGTATCCTGCCTCTGCACCCCCTCCCCCCCACCTCTGGACAACCTGTCCTTCTCCTGCCCCACTCCCTCCCTCCCTGCAGGGGCTTTGATCTTCCCCCCACCCCTTCCCTCTTCCTCTGCTCCTTCCCTTCTACTTACCAGCTGGAAAAATCCAGAGATCTGAGGGTAGGATCTGGAGATTGGGAGTCAGAGTTATTTTGACTTTGAAATTCCTAGTCTTACCATGGTTTCAGGACAGTTGTCATTACTGGAAAAGGAATTTAAGCACTTGGGCCATTTTCTAAACCATGTTAACCAATTTGCATGACACAGTTTGAATCAAATTTCAATTCGAATTAAGATTTAATAGACGATCATTGACAGCTCCTTAACAGGCCCAATTAGCTGTGGTTGGAAGTAATTAGGAGGCGATAATAAGTCTGTTTAAACTCTGTTACATTGTTGCAGCTAGCTACAGTGCTGTGCAATTGACCTGATGCTTAGTCCCAGTGGGTTGTTGTCGGCACATTTGACTTGGTAAAGGTTTGTGCCTGATAGGCTCTGTTGTGTTGCAAAAATGCAATTGAGGGTATTGATATTTACAATGCTTATCTGCTTATATTAGTTCCTAAGGACTGGTTTTCCTAAAATCAATGCTGTTATATATATGTTAATTAATACAGTTTAACTTGCCTAATTCAGACTGCCCTAGTCTGCATTAACTTTAATCCTCATTCAATGAGGATTAGTTGATTCGGACTGGAGCCAATTTTAATTCAGACTATAGACATCCAAGTGTATATAGTGACTGCTGTAGTCCAGATTAAACCTAGAAAAATGTAAAATCTATAAACATCCTTGTCATTGAAGGTAGCAGGTAGGAAGGTGGATTATTGGGTAGTTGCATAAATGTGGGTGGTGACCAGGGCAGCAATTCCAGGCACTGCCTTTGAGTGGTTAGCAAAAAGGTGCAACTGCGGTGGTAGCCAATTCATGCTGCTGTGATTGGCAGTTTAGCAGTCAGCAATGCAGTGAGCGTTGGTGGCTGCCCCAGGCATGGAGCTGTCTATCTGTGCCTCTGTTAAGGAGAATAGAGGGATCAGGTGCAACCAGTAATTCAGAGCAAGAGCTGTGTAGAGAATACCATAACAAGAATTCTGAAGGTGAGAGAGAGGCAATGCAGAATCAGTAAAGGGTTTGGGGAAGTGGGGACAAAGCAGTCAAAGAAGCTGAAGGAAGAAGATTCTGGTGGCTGTGTTATGGAGAGAGTGAATAGAAATAAGGTGAATATTTAGAAGTGCAGGATGAAGTAGGTCACAGTCGTCCAGATAGGAGATGATGAAGGCATAGACAAGCTATGGACAGTAGAAATGGAGGGGAGTGGATAGTTTGAACATGTGGTAGAGGACATAGTGGCAAGATTTTGCAACAGCCTGCTTGACTGGGGCAAGGGAATATAAGTTTATGTGGCTGATGAAATATTCTATCGTGAAGAAATTTGGTAAGATACATAGCTGATGAGAGACCCATTTTGCAATATTGCATTGAAGTTGATGGGAGACCCATGAAGGGTCATAGAGAAGTACAGCTGGAAGGTACCTCCAGAGGTCACTTAAGTCCAACCCTTTACCTGAGGCAGGATCATTCTTATCCAAACCGTCCCATGCAAACCATAATCTAAATTCTACATAAGACTACCATCAACCCTGACAACACAGATCTAACATCCTAAACTGCCACAGGTAAAGCAAGGGAAGCACAGTAGACCAATGTCCTGCTTTTATGAAATGTCATCAATATGTGCTCAAGAGATCCTGGGTTGAGGGCCACACCCTTATACAGACGAAGGCAAAACCCCCCATAGACTACCAGTCTGACCAGGGGGTAAAATTCCTTCCTGACCCCAAATGTGGCAATTGGTCTGATCCTGAGTGGAGGGGCAAGATCCCCAAGCCAGGAACCTCTGGCTTTGGTCCCAGCAGGAGCATTGGCACACCCCAGTTAAAGTCTCCAGGCTTGGCCGACGCCCAATGCCTCTGAGGAAGGCTTACAAACCAAACCCCCTGACACGTGTAGCAGAAAGGGGTGGGGCAGGGGCAACCAGAAAGCCCAGAAGCATGGGAAATACCCATAGTAGAACATAGGCATAGCCATGCCTACATCATCCCCAACCATGGCTGTCCAGCCTCTTCTTGAACCCCTCCAGTGATAAAGACTGCACAGCTTCCCTAGGAAGTCTATTCCACTGCCTCACTGTTCTAACAGTGAACAAGTCTTTCTGGATATCCAGTCTAACTTTACTTTGATGCAGCTTCAAGCCACTGGTCCATGTCCTCCTCCCTGACAAACAGTGAAGTATTGGTGGAGGACGTGAAAGTGATGGGTAACTTGGGAGGAAGGAATCACGATATGACAGGATTCCAGATCCTGAGACAAGGAAAGCATGAGGTCAGCAAAATTAGGAAACTAGATTTCAATAGATAGATGATCCCCTAGTTGTATCCTCCACTTTCTGGAACAGAAAGTTGCCCTCCACACAAGTTAGAGATGGGCTTAACATTTTACATTTGGCTGCATTGTTCTTCCAGCAAATGTCTGGAAAATTGAAGTTTCCTATCAGTACCATCCTATAACTTTTGGATACGGTTGTCACCTGCTTGAAGAGTGCCTCACTGACCTCCTCTTCCTGATTAGCAGCAATCCTGGTTTTCCCTGATTAAAAACTCACAAATTCTCTGATTTAAAAACCCCAAAATCTCTGATTAAAATGAAAGACCCCTCACTCCCCTCCCTCCACATCCCTGTAGGTGCCCTTTACTCCCCATCCCACAGGCCCCTGGCCTGGTTAGTACCCTCACTGCCCCCGCCCCTCCCCCCCACACTGCCCCCTGGCGCTGCTTGTGCCCCTCACTCCCTCCTACAGCCCCCCAGCCCTGCTGGTGCCCTTTGGCCCTCATGCATAGCCCCCTGCCACCCCCAGCCCTGCCAGAGGGACCCCCAGCTGCCAGAGCTATGGGGCCAGGGACCCAGGTCCACAGCCCCTTGCCCCCAGCAGGAGGCAGCAACTGGTGGAATTGGTGAAGCAGAGCACAGAGCCCAGCTCCCTGCCCCACACTTTCCTCCTCCCACCCCCCTCCCACCTGCTGCCTCCCTGCTGTGGGCTTGGGCAGAATGGGGGCCGGCCCCCTTGCCCACTGTGCGCACTCCCAGGGCAGGCAGGGCAGATCTGTGCACACGGCAGAGACAGGCTGCCCGCTGTGGGCTTGGGCTCCCTGCCCTACTGCCCTCCCCTGGGTCCTCAGCTAGTGCAACCCAGTGCTGCAGGGAAAAGCAGGACCACACTGAGAAGCTTGTTGCCACTGTGAGCTTCATGCTGCCCTGGCGACGTGTCCCCTGCATGCGCAGCAGCAGTGAGGGGCACAGCCCTGCACCACTACCCCCACTGCTACTGTGCACACAGGGGACACGTCGCCAGGGCAGCATGAAGCTCACAGTGGCAACAAGCTTCTCAGTGTGGTCCTGCTTTTCCCTACAGTGACAGATTGCACCTGCTGGGCTGCAGAGGCCGTGGGGGAGGACAGCAGGGCAGGGAGCACAAGTCTGTAGCAGGCAGCCCATGCCTGCCTCATCCCATGCACAGATCTGGGAGGCATAGGTCCTCCTCTACCCACCAGGAGTGCATGCAGCAGCAGGGAGCTGGCTCCTGACCCCTGCCCCCTCAACGAGCCTCCTGCAGCCCCATCCCACTCACCACTGGGGCCCTGCGGCTACGCATTGCAGCCCTGGGCCCCAAGCCCCATGCACTGCCTCACTGGGCAGCAGCCCCAGGCACACCCAACTCACTCCCTCCCTCACTATGAGGGCCTCAATCTCCCCCACCCCCACCCCAGTTACTCCAAGCTGCCTTAGGCCATGTGCATGTACATGCATGTGGTGCCCCCTGCCTAATCATACTCTCCCTCCCAGCCCCTTGCAGGCTGGAACTCTGCCAGCCTGCAGAGAGCTCTTTGCAAAACTGCAAAATCTATGCGTTTCTCTGGTAAAACAAGAAATCTGCATTTTCCTCTGGTAAAGAAGAAAATTCATGGTTTTCTCCATTTTTTTCCATAGGAAATGGCAAATCCAGATCCCTGGTGATTAGTGGTCTATAATAAATTCTCAACATTATATTGGTTTATGAGCAATTCTGGCAGAGATGAAGAGACTTGAACAGTGTGGAGATAGGTCATGGGTAGATTGGGAGTCATCAGGAAGCCATGAAAGACACGAATGTCCTCAGATGGGGGCAGATCGTGAGGGGGTGAGAGAACATGATCAAACCCACCTTTTAGGCCCTGAAGCCTGTTTTCCTTCTCTCTGCCTGGTCCCCCTGGGTTTTCCTTGCCAGCTCAAGGGCAGGCTTATGCAGAAGAAACCCTTCTGCCACTACTTCTGCTATCCTCAGTTAAGCCCAGATCCCCATGCAGCCTGGCTGGAGCAGCTCTGGAGCAACCGCTGCCCCCAGGTGAGCCAGGGACAGCAGCGGACAGGGGAGGGGATGAATGGGAGGCAAGGGGAAGGGGGGGGAGTTGAGGTGCTACTGAGCATGAAGGGGAGGGGTTGCCAAAGTTGTGGGGAGACTTACCTGAAAGTCCCTGACTACTGCTGCTGCTGCATGGTCTTATTGGGATGGGAAGCTAGAAGTGGGGGGTTCAGCCACCCATGGAGGGCTGGTTGCTGTTCCAATGCCTCTCCTCCCCAACCCTGTACAGAACCCTGGATGCACACATGTCCCCAGGGATAAAATATGTGCCTGGAAGCTGTATGTAGAGAAGAGGGAGTCAATGATGGAAGCTTTTGGGGCACCAACGGAGAACAGCTTGAAAGATTGGAGGTGTTCCCTGTAAGAGCTGGAGGCAAAGAATCTTGTGGACAATGATGCTGAGAGTAACAGCAGTGCTGTGAAACATGGCCCTTCCCTAGAGCAGTGACCAGCCAGGAGCTGAGCAAACAGGGGAAGGTGGCCTTTTCACCTTTGTAGAGCTTTGGTTGACCAGAGCTGGCAGAAAATTCCTTCTGACTTTGTGGCGCCACTCCTCTGATAATTGGAGAATGATCTGTTCAAGCTGCTGAAGGGGCTGTAGGCCTGAGCTGTGGTCTAGGGGACAGGTTCAGGAAGTAGCTGGAGCAGATGACTCTTGCGAGCAAATGAGGAACAACTAGAATCCAAAGTGAAGGAGGCTTCTGGTCCATGACTGAAGGTGTCTGTTGCTGATGAAGTTGATCATTGCTGATAGTGGCACTGAAGTGATTTCTAAGTGAATTTCTACCACTCCAAGGACTGGAGGAGGGTACTGATCACTATAAGGGAGATTCCCCACCAGAGGTGGAAATATCAAAGAGGAGGAGGGGTGAAGAGTCCAAGGAGATGTCATAACTAAACTTAGCTAGAGTGGCATCAGTGGAGTCAATGGGGCGTGGGAGAGAAATGGGTTACAAGAGTAAAGGACAAACACAGTGGGGAGGAAGTCAGAGCAAGATTATGCTAGGGTGTGAGCTGTGAATAAACAGGAAAGGCCTGAGAGAACCAGGTGGAGGTAAAAAGGAGACAGTTGTATGAAGACTGATGGAAAGAATTCACATGAGAGTTCAAGAATGAGGGAAGGGATGATGGACCCCAGGAAAGTATAGGGCAAGGTGAAAGGGCCAGTTAGGAAGAAAGGCATACAATGAATGTTTCAATCTTGGAATACGTGGACAGGGAGTGCGGAACAGCTGTGGGGTAGAAAGTAGGGGAGGAGGGATTTAAGCTGTACAAACATGCACCTAGAATGTGCCTCCAACTTGCTTTCCAAGCTTCAACCAGTATAGGCCAAATTTTACTTTTAGATTCACCCGCTCAACCCCCATAGACTTTGATAGACTCACCAACACAAGGGCAGAATTTGCTGCAGGTATCTAAGGAGCACTAAGAAGAAAACGGTTTCCAACTATCTCGAAGAATCTTGTGAGAGTCTCGTGTTGAGCTCTATACATATCATCCTGAATGTTTCACTGGAGGCACAAAGTAGAATGCTTCCCCCTTCTCCCCCCTGCTCAAGTAAGGGCCTGAAGCTTTGACCCTACATCAAGAGACCTGTTCCACTCATGAAAGTTACCTTTTGCTTTTACTGATGGGACCCTCGGTTATTTAAGGGATCCTAAGAGTTGGATCCTATCCAATTCTAAATGAAATTAATGGAAAAAATCCTGCTTCCCCCCACCCCCAATGTACAGTTGCCCTTCAGTAGAAGTTTCCTTGTGTTTCCAAGCAGAATTGTGTGTCTTTATAATGGAATCTAGATGCTGTAATAAATAAGCTTTCAACTCGCTTGTGTGCAGAGCACCTGGATGAAGAGCCAGCCCCTTTTCCAGCTCACTGAGCCTGATCCAAAGCCTGTTGCAGTCGCTGGAAAGGCTTCTACTGATTTAGTGGAGCATTGGATCGGATCTTAGGAGAGCACTGTATGTGAAGCAAGGAGAAGACTTTCTTCTCATTTTCATGGCAACATAGATTAGAATTAAAATGTCAAAATGTTGATTTCTGTTTTAACAACTTAGGACATTTTTTTTCATTACAAAGTCCTTGGTAATTTTGTCAGAATAACTGGCTAATGATGTGATTCTTTTTTACAAATTAAAGATGAATAATTTGTAGGCATTGTAGATATCTGTAGTCTATCAATGTAGCTGAAATATAAAGGAAAACATTGTTTAATTGTTCTGTCACTGGCTTTTAGTGTGAAATGAATGATAATGTGGTGAAACAACTTCTGAATTTTCAGGAGAGCAGTATTGGCTTTTAATTTTGTGTAACAGTAATTCAACTGAACATAATGTGAAATGCTCAGTTGACTTTGTTTTTTTCCTGTAACATTCATAGGACAACATGTATTCCATGTTAGGCATGTGTAGAGCTCATAATAAATCTGTTCAAAACCTATGCAGTCTTTAAACAGAAACGTGAACAGGTCTTTTACATTTTTCTCCATACACTTTTGCAGATTGTTAACTTTTTTGGAAAAGTGAAAATAAGGATAACATTAGTAACAAAGAATGAGCCCTACAAGCCTCACCCTCATGACCTGGTTGGAAAAGACTGTAGGGATGGCTACTATGAAGCTGAATTTGGACCAGAGCGCAGAGTCATATCGTAAGTAGCAGCACTGAGTTCAGTTTTATGCTGTTGAAATCTAGTCACCAGACTAAAAGAACAATTGGGATAACTTCTGTGTAGGAGCTGACATTTGTGCCTTTCTGCGGGCTCCCCAGATCATTCCGAGAGAGGAAACTTACCCTGGGCAATCTTACAAAACTTCTGTGAAGGGGACTCTGTTTTGCCTTGGAAGTTTATTATTTATTCAGTACTTTATTGTTAGATTCAGCAGCCATCACTGAAAAGATATATATTGAGCAGTAGATCCATTACTTTTTCTGCCCTCTGTTTGTCGTCTTTTATCAATCTCCCCTCCCCCCATCTCTCTCACTTCCCTCCTTGTCTTTGTTTCTCTCTCTCACACGCACACATTTGGCAGCTCTGAACACCTGTCTCTTGGCTTGACTCCCTTCCTTCCCCATTCTGTGCACTAAAGTGACCTGTTGCAAAAAACAGTCATTAAATTTTATTTGTCATATTTAGAGTTAGTGCTTCAAGGAGATGAATGGGATTTAGGGGAACCCACACCTTTCAAGAAGTACTGTTGCAGTCTTTCTGTAGACTCTGGAAGACAGTGCCTCTGGGTTGACACACTGTTCACATTTGGTAAAGAAAGATAAAGGAAGGCCAGAATAGCACATCAGCTGCTCTATAGTAACTGCGCCAGTGCAGTAATTGAAAAGCTAACTTCTGTCATCTCACCCTTCTATCATTGAGGACTAAGTTGCCCTAAGTTAGCTGTCATTTACCTTGAGGTGTAAAAGAACACATGCAAGCAGTTATGGAAGAGCTGATGTTCTATAAAGTCCCACATTCCTCATGTATTTAGATTCAGCAGAAACTAAGGACATGGTCACATAAACATATCACAATTGAGGCACATTCATGCATCAAGCAAGCTAGGTTTCAGCAAGATTATCTCAGGCTCATTCCAAAAACGGGTTTGTCCTGTGTGGACATTAGGGACTAAAGGGTTTTTCAGGTTAGACTGCTGTAGTCACTTATGAATATCTTGCCTAAATGTGTTGAAAGATAGGTATGTTAGAGTATCATCAGTATGAACATGGTAGTTATGATTAAAAGTATAAATAATAATCAGTACATAATAAAAATAGAGAAGACCAAGAACAGTGTCCTGTGGGACTCTGTAGAGGAGTCTCAGTGGAGAAGGTTCTGCTGCTAGAGGCAAAGTTTGATCCAAAGTTAACTTGGTATAAACAGGCACAACACCCATTTAATACTTACATTGCTGCTTAGGGTGCCATGAACATCTAAATTAGCAGTAGCATGCATGGAAGTTAATAATAAAGCCATCTCTGCCACAAAAGATAAAGGCAAGAACATAGAGAACTGTAGCAGGTGAACTTTGGTCATTTCCCTAAAAGGGTTTACATCTGAGTGGCTTGTTTTCTCTATGGCATGTAATGTTTGGATTATCACTTAGGAGAAAATAAACTATGCAGAAGAGAAGCAGGTAGGAAAATAAGATTCAAGCATGAAGATTTATTGTTACACAGTCGTGTGTGTCATTAAAATATCTATCCAGACAGCTAAAGTTCTCTTCAAAACCCTTTTTCCCTTTGTTGATAGCTTTAGCCTCATTTTGCCTGGCCCCTTTACACATACGCTGTCTCTCTCCAAGCCATTTGAAAGGCAGCTACCAAGATTTTTTTCTCTACTTGTCCTTCTTATGGTGTCATCCCTCTGCTGACTATTTTTTCTCTTTCTTTTTTAAAGATCAAATTCAAGTTTCTTGTCCTGATGTTCAAGGATTCCCACAGTTCTGATTCTCACTGTTTCTCAAGCTGTCTCTTACTGTCCTTCTGAAAACAAAAGGTCTGATTCTCCACAGTCTTGGACTTTGTGTAGCCCCATACAACTGTGCTTATTGGTCATAAGCCACCAGCACCTTTTCCGTTTGGTGTTTACCTCACACACAAACTAAGATCTTAATGGGAGAAAGCCTCAAATAAGTCTCCATGGAACTTTTCCAACATAGATAAATACTTGTATTTAATGAGTGTGTAATCACTTTAAGAAGAATGAATCATGTTACATTTTCAGATCTGGAAGTTGAATATCGGTCTTTCTTTTTGTGGTTTGGAAGGTGTTGGCAACAAATATTGTAAAACTTTTCTGAGTCTGTACTGAGAAAAAGGCTTGTACCAACACTATTCATGGAGCACTGTGCTGCTGGAGATGCCCTCTTTTGGATGGGTGGCAAAACAGAGGGTCTTGTCACGTGTTTTTTTGCAATATTGGGGTAATTTGCCCCAATATTTTGGCTAAATTCTACTATGACAAATTCCTGTGTGTTTAGTCTCTGAAATTCCCTGGGTAGCTTCAGTGGGAGAAAGTAGCTTCTATTCTTCCTTTCCAAACTTGTTGCTGAATGACAATGCTGTATATGGCTATACGTTGCTGTTTCATTCCAGAGGTGTCTGCAATATCCACTATGTTTAAGGCCTCTGCGGCCAAAAGGGCAGGCCAGGATTTGTCTCAGACTGAATATATTAGTAACTTGTGGCTATTTCTGTGTTGAAATGTTTTTTCCAAGTTCATGTCTAGTCTGCTTTGATGTGTGTTTTAATCTTTTGTTGTATCTACTTTTCCCCCTAATGCTTTCCCTGCTTATTTTTAGTCTGCTGACACTTGAGAGAGACCACCCAGATTCTAGCCAATCTTTTCTGTTCAAGGTCTCTGTTTAGACAGCAGATGATAACTTGCAGAATGGCACCAGTATGTTTCAGGAAAGGATTAACACTTGAGGGGTTGACATGCTTTTTATTTATTTTATTATAATTATTACTTTCAAAGATCAAGTCAGCCCACAAAGTGCCTGGTACTTGATATAATTAGGGACCTACTTAAATCATGGGTTTGCAGTTTTTGCAGCAACTGCGGAACATGGTCATCTGTGTGATTGCTGCAAAAAATGGCATTGGCTACAATGTCTCTGGAAATCAACCCTTCAAAAATACTTAATAAAAATAAAATGCTGGCTCCTCAGTGCAAGCCAGTGGCTGGCACTGCCACTGGCAGGGGGGCATGAAAGCAGCAGCCAAGATGGTAGCTGCCCCCTCATGCCTCTCCAGTAATCAGCACTGAGGGGCTGGGATGTCTGAAGGGCACCCAGCAGTCAAGATGGTGGCCATCCCCTCATCCTTTCTCACCCCGGGGCCTCTCCATCTTGATCAGCGCTGAGGGGAGAGGCCATCGTATAAATCAGCTCTTTGGGCCTGATCAGCCATGAAAATTGCTTTCTCTTGCTGTGAGTTAGGTAGGTCCCTATTGATAACAGAACGTACTCTACAGTAGTAGAATAATTGCTGTCAGTTTTTACACAGGTAAATGTTGTTTTGTACATGTCCATTCTCACATGTATCTTTTATTTTTACATATTCATATATGATTTATTATGGGCTGATGCTATAATAGGCAGGACCTAGAAAAATATATGGCTATGCTGCTTTCTGGGAACCTATTCTACTTTTTCCAGTTCCCTGTCTACACAACAAACCCAATGTGGCTGTTCCCCTGTTGTCTCCCCACCTCTACCCTGCCACTGATCTGATACAATCATATGCAAATCAGGAGCCATTGTAGCTCTTTGGAACTGTTCCATCACTTAAATGAGGGGTAAATTTACTTTAAAAGTAGCATAGTGTTGATGGGACCTACATCATCTATCCATGCTTTTGGAAACCTTGGACTGTCAAATGATTTGGGGACATGATGAAGGTCCAATTTGCAGCACAAAATTGAAATATGCTTTAATTGTGTTGGATCCAGGCCTACCTGAAAACAGTTTTAGTATAGACAAGATCTAAAAAAGTAGTGTGTGTAAAACAAAATGAGACTGAAATAGCGCTTTTTCATATACAACAAATCCTGAATTCAGGAAACCAAAACAGAGCCAGAGTAATTTAATTAAACCAAGACACACTAAGTCACCTTTTTTAAGAACGCAGACTTGAGCTCAGCATGAGGTCTGTGTAGAGAATGAAAACTGGCTAAGTATTGAGCCAGTGGTATGGGAGAGAGATGGCTCTAGTAGTGTCAGGTTGCATCTCAGTCTTATAGGCATGTCTTAGGGTTTCGGTGGGAGGGAATTGCCAGTCCTTCTGGAGAAGCAGCAGCAGAAATTGATGGCAAGTGCCTTCAGACTTTTACTTCCTGCTTTACATCTCCTCAGCTTAATGATGTCATGGTTTTTCCATGTGGGAAAGAATCAGATTTTGGGACTCCCCCCACCTCTGCTGCCAGTGACCTCATATGCAAATAAGGAACTGTGTCGCTCTTGAGAACTGTTCCTATAACTGACATGAGATTTCATACTAATTTTAAAAAATTAAAATACTGTTGCAGATTTGGATTTTCTGCTGCAATCCTCAGCTGAAGTAAATGAAGATATATCTGATATATCTGTTGATATCAAAGGAGCTCTACCAACTTATTCCAGCTGGGACTCTGATCAGATATGTTTTAAATTTGCTAATTTACCAAATGCAAAGCTTCAGGGATTTAACAATGAAAATAAAAATGTTCTCTTTTGATTTTTGTTGAGGGATTCCTTCTTTTGATCTGTATTCTTGGAAGGATTTAAAATCCTTGTTTTCAGTTGTTTCATGCTCCTTCTTGTGTCGTGATGGCTCTTTTTCCATCTCTTTTTATGTCCTACACAATCTTTTACCATGATACCTTCGTGACAAAGGATGTTCAATATGATTCCCCCGCCCCCGTAATTAAAATTCATTTTTTAGAAGTCTGATTAAGTGAAACAGATTTGGCTTTTTATTACTAAGTCTTATATTATATTGTTCTAGTTTTCAGAATTTGGGTATTCAGTGTGTAAAGAAGAGAGAGCTGAAAGATTCCATTTCTTTAAGAATCACAAGAAAGATCAATCCCTTCAATGGTGAGTAACACTTAGTCATTAGTTTGATATGTTAAAGGCCTTGGACACAAAGGGATTTATTTAGCAAAACTTCTGTTGTTCTTTTGGTGGAGATATATTTTGAAATCATGACTCTTATGCCGTGTCCACATGAGCGTGGATGTTTGGTTTGCTGGGGACAACTAGCAGTGGGATGCCTTGTGCTGCCACTAGTTGTACCTGGGGAACACTTGTACCATAAACTCTCTGGCACACAGCAGATTACGCCAGATGGGATAGAAGAGGCTGGGGCCAGCACTGGGATGGTGCCAGCAACCTTACCTGAGGTCCTGGAGGCCTCCTGGGACTATAGTAGCAGTGATTCTGCTGGTCAGAGCTTGGCCAGCAGCCAGAGTGTGGCTCTGGCTGGCCAGGCTCTGGTTTTAAGTGGTGTGCACTACCCCCATGTGCGTCACTCTACTCTGTGCCTTTTATTTTTTTTTTTGACCTCTGGATATCCAGGGGTCATTCCCCACCCCCTTCTGCTCCCTTGCAGTGGGGAGAACAACTGAATATGCGGTATATGGTGCTGCAAGATGCGTCTGCAGTGCCACATACCGCCCGGCTGTGCTTGTCTGGATATGGCCTTAAACGCTGTCAGATCTTTTCCCCTCCTGTTTTTTATTTCCTTCACTCTCTCTCATCCCTGACTGATCCTATTTATTGTGATGTGCTGCTCTGTCTTTCCAGGAGAAAAATCTTCCTTTCTCCTGGGTCATCTTTGCCAGTGACAGAGGCAAAGATGTTGATTAAGGCAATAGAGAAACTTTCTGCTTGAATTTCTCAGTGTCTCAAGAGTGATGGGAAACCACCAGCCTTTAGAATCAAGGACTGTGGGCCAAGGTCTTATAGTTTTCTAACTGAACTATCAAGGGTTAATATGACAGGAAAGCTCATAAAATCCATTGTTCATGACCTTTTGGAAAAGCAACTCTCACTGTGTGGCTGACTTGTTCAAGAAAAGAAGTGTATTTAATATAAAAATCAGCTTTTCTAGAAACTGCTTCAGTACTGTTTGGAAGTTATGTGAGTGACAGATTTCTTACATGCAGTTACAATTCCTGCTGCTGGTCCTACAGTGGCCATTATTTTGTGTTTGACCTCAAAATTGACTGTAAACATTTGTGAAATCACAAACATGATTTCACTGCTGGATCAAATAGATGGTGAAGAAAGAATTTTTAAGGGCCTTGGTCCTGCAAAACCTTATTCACATGAGCAGCTCTTACCACAAGGTGTGCACTTATCAGCCCTATAGTGTTTGAAACTGGGTGTTTAAATACATCCCTTGAAAAAGTAAAAATAATTTTTAAAAAATCAAATCAGATTTATTTTATTTATTTATGTTACTACTCCTTTATTTTCCTTCAATTCATAGTTTTAAATGTCCAGAGCGGAAAGCCTATATTTGTTTTCAACCTGTGAAAAGGTATTTTTGGTGTTTTATGGAAACTTTTTGTTGTTGCAGTAATAAATTTCATACTTCAAATATATTAGAAAAAGGCATGTTCAGGACCTCTTCAGCTGCATCACTTAACATGTGTTATGTTGTCAAACACCATCTTCTGAGATGTTAAACTTTCCCCAGCAAAGAAGGCTGAAATTCTCTCAAGGATCCCCCCCAAAATAAACATTTTTAATATAATTTCCCTAGAAAATGACCTAAACATTTTGATATTTTTGAACCAGAACATTTTGTTTTGAGTCAGCTCTACATTAAGTTGCATCTACTCTACAAGGCTACAATACTCCGTTCCCTCATGGTTCTGCAAGGGTCAGGTTTCCTAGGCAAATTATGCCTTCCATGTTACATTACCATTAAGTGACTCCCATGAAGCAGCACATAAATTGGTCAGAGAGGAGACCATGATACATTATAGGAGGAGTTTAAGAAACTCTGACACTAGAAGAGACTGGGGTCATGGAAGTCCCTCATAAGGCACTTGGACACCTGAGGGCAGACTGTTGAAATGGGGATAAATCTGTTTTGGTTTACTTCAACAGATAGAAATATTTTAGTTTTTGGTCAAATCAGCCCAAAATGAAACTTGGCAGACAACTTTTAACTTTGCAGGAACTGAAGTTTACATTGAAAAATGATTTTGACAGAATTTTCCTGGCCAGTTTGAATTTACCAGCACTGGCATCTTTAAATCACCTTGTCATTCAGCTCACGCATTTTAAGCTAAAATTAAAATAGCACAATTTCAGGCTAGTTTTACAATGTCTGTGTCTCCCTAAAATTCACAACGAAAATTATATATTTATATTATTTTAAAATATATTATTTACTTGTTATTTCTTTAAGACTCACAATCTTAAAGAAATTGTATATTTTTTATTTAACTCATTCTGCCATGATTTCAATGACAAAATAACAACTGTCCTGTTAAGTGAAATGAATAAATAAAATAAAGCCAGTTGGTTTTCTTTACAGCAGGAGAGTTTTACTCCATAAAGAAATTCATTTTTTTCCTCTTGATGTTGTCAGTTTCCTTTATTGCATCATAAACCATTTTGTAGGTCATTAATAAAAGAAATACCAGAATCCTGATATGAATATTTAGTCACAATGGGAAGAGAATTATTTAATTGGTGTATGTCTTGTTAAACTTTTGGCCCTGATCCTTTATCGCAGTGAACTCTTCTTGGTGAAGGACCTGAAATGGATTCCTGGGACAGTTGGAGTCTAGTTGCACCTGTAGCCTCTTTTATAATATTTGCATAGCTGGTCACACTGTGCTGTGGTCTCTTCCCCGGCACATCCTCTATGCTGAGGGAAAGGCTTGACCTGGTGCTAGCAATCCCTCCCTGCTCTGCCTGCTAAGATTTCTTCTGTGCCAGAGAAGGCCCCAGCTGCCAATGCTGGAAACTTTTTGTCCCGTTTGGATCATTGACATGACAATAGGAGCCCAAATTTCAACTCTTTACTTCTGTTAATTTCACACTTCGAGTTGTCACCACATTGTAAGAACCTGTTGTTCCCCCCCCAACATCTTGGTATTGCAAGTTCCTAATTAAACACGCTTAGTGTCATTAATTTCTGCACTGATGACTCTACATATAAATTTAATTTAGTCACTAGTACCTATCCCTGTTGTCTGCTTATTGATAGCACTAAAGATTTTTTTTTGTATTTTTATAGCCTTTTAAGGCCACAAGCAATCATTAAACCCCTGGTCTGACCTCTTATATTACACAGACCTAGAATTTCACCCAATTAATCCTATGTTGTTTCATAAAACATATCTTCTAGAGGGGCAGCTGGTCTTTTTGCGTGTTGGGAAGTACTACAGAGGGAAGTGTATACCCAGCTGAAATTGATGTTGTAGACAACAGTTATTACAAAATAATTCCTCATATCTGGTAGAACCCATTATAGACATTGGGTTCTGAACATTTTCTGTCATTTTTAGCAATTTGTGCAAAAAATGTTTATGAAACATTTGAAATTGTGCCACGGTGTAATTTCTTTAAAAAAAACAAACAACAAAACCAAACCCTACAATTGGTCAATGGCTGAAGTGTTTAACCAGCTCCCCACTCCCCAGGTAAAAATACACCATTAAACACATTGACAAATTCACAGTGTGGATGCTTAAAGTAACCACATTAGGCCAAATATTTCTGCGTTTGTGCCTTGGCAAGTTAGATTTAGCTTGCTGTGTCCATAAAGTCTGTTGAATTGAATTAATTCAAGACTAGGGCCATAATGTTGCGAGGCGAGCTCCCCTGAACGGCAACAGTTTCATTGTTCCAATGGAAGGGAGGTTGTGGTTGTGAAGGAGCAGTCGTCCTTCATGGGGGCTCTGTAATGGAAGGATATCAACACATGGCATGCTGGGAAACGCTGAGAAGGGCAGGCACTGATTGGCAGTACTGGGACCTGTAAAGTAAAAACTCACTTCCCCTTTCATCTCCTACCCCAGGCTCTGGGTGTGTATCCCCATGTTTCCTCATCTTTCAATTGAGGGAAAGAGAAGCCCTAAATGTTCTAAGTTTGGAAAAATCTCCCTCAACTCAGTCCTCCAGAAGTAAAGTAAATCTGTAAATCGTGCCACCAAGGTTCCTATGTGTGAATCCTGAGAAAATGTACCCATTAAGGCTGCTCTGGCAAGTCAGTCCTTGCCGCTGGCTATCAGCATTTGTCTGTTATGGAATTCAGTACCTGGAGTTCACATCTTCTATGATGATGTTAATGATTTTGCTTTGCTACAGTAATAGTGATCTAACTTGAGTTATTTCCTAGAGTTAGCTTAGGTTGGCTAGTCACACTGAAAAATAAAGCCCAAACTGTTGTTGCCACAGGTACTTGCTTATATGTAGTGCTAAAAGGCTTCTGGGGAGCATATTCCATGGTTTTTCAGTAAGCTGAGCTGTTCTGTGAATTCTTTCCCAGAACATTGTAGGAAAACCTTTCTGTCCTTTCTGAGCACACAAGGGATTGTGAATCCTTGTATGCAATAAGGTTCTTGTTGTCGTTTAGGGCTCTCAAGTGCTATAGTAATATGGAAGATGCATAACAAGCCATGGAAGGAGTTAGACTCAGTGTCCACATTGAAAAGTAGTCAAGTTAGCAGCTGACTAGCCACTCTAACTTGAGCTTTAGCCTATATCCCCTGACAAACCGGCTAAATCAAGTTACAGGCACCAGCTATCTCCTGGTAAGGGCTTTGGGTGTGGACAGAGCTTGAGTTAGAAACCAGGATCTAATTAGAACTTGAGATCCCTTTCAGGAAAGGGAAGCCCTAAATATGCTAAGTTTGGGGAAATCTCCCTCAACACAGTCCTCCAGAAGGCTAGGCCCTCTTTGCTGAAGGGAATCTGACCTCCAGACCCCCGGCATAGTCCAGGGTGAGAGAGCTGGACTGTTCTACCCTTCTTGCTCCCAAGCAATCGTGTATGTAGAGTAGGGGTTGGCAATGTTTGTGGGCATAGTGCCAAAAACACCAGGACCCTCAATTTGTAAGATGTTGGTATGC